TTAAATTAGTAACAAGAATTTAGCCTGAGATCAAGATGACACCTGCTACTTGATAAGTTTTGAGTATTCTTTTTTCCTGTTTGCTGGATAATATATCATATTAGAAGGAGAAGATGCATGTTAATCATGTTAATTAATTTGTTTGCTTCCTGTTCAAGCTACCACTCACATTTTGTGGAAAGATCTCCTTGAACCTGTCACACAAATCTGTGAAGTGTCACTCGTCACACAAGCCATTCATGACATGGTCACGTCACTGAAGTCACAAGGGAAGCGTGTGGCTTATATCCTGTGTGGAGATTTCAACACTGAACCTCACTGTCCACCTTACAGTTTACTAACAAGTGGTCATCTAAGCAAAAGTGAATTCTGCAAACTCCAAACTGTTGATTACTTGCGATTCTCCGCAGATGTTCCAAAGCCAGAGCAGGTACCCATCTTCACGCACTAAATGATGTAGAGATTTTAAGTTGTGGTCAGTGAGGTATAATATTCTATCAACAGACAAAAGAAAAGATTTATTTCATCTTTCTGCTTCCAACTGTAGGTACACCCTGAGCAGATTGCTCTCTTAAGCAAAGTCAAGAACCATCTTCACTGTCCACTGACACCCCTGCAGAGTGCCTACAAGGTGGTCTTGGTAAGTAGAGTGTCCCATGTCAGTCTTGATTTAGGTTATATTTTCTCAGGGATTTTTTTATTCTCAATATCGGTCTACTCAAGCCAGTATTGGGAGGAGTTTGAGACATTTCCAGACTTTTAATTGGTGGACGAGGCGTCGAACGAGGCTCAAAGCGAAATGTCTGGGCTACCATCGTGCCCAGTCCACTGACTCAACATCTCGACCTGGCCAGTACTAACACTAAGAAATCTCTTCGTGGCTCAGCTAAAATCAGCTAAGGTTGAATTAAAACCAGTTTTATAAGGTTGTCATTAGTGTTATGCTCGCAAGAAAAGGTTAGAATGGTTATGGCAGTAGGAAATATTTCCAATTCGTTTTTTCCTAAACGTTAATTGAGAGGATTTTGTAACATTGTTTGCAATAACATTGATATGTTCTTCTTCTTTTAGGGTTCTGAGCCCGAATGCACGAGTTTTGAGGATGATGCGAGCCGTCTTTGGACTCTTGACTACATTTGGTTTGATTCCGAAAATTTGCAAGTTACATCAGTGCTGGAAACCTTACCTGCGTCAGCAATCGCTGCGTACAGAGGCTTTCCTAATGAGTATTTTTCATCAGATCACTTTTCTCTAAAGGCGAGTTTCAAGCTCGTAGGAAAAAGTTAATGGGTCGGCAAAAATGAAAACAGCAAACTTCAAAGCTTTCTCTAAATGAAAATCAATTTTCGTCATCCTTTTTTAGTTATCTTTTTAAAAAAAAACAAACTATATGTTAGCGTATGGAGTGGTGTGTTTTGGTGTAGTGTGGGTTAGAAAGGCACTGACTTGAATGACACTCATTAGTTAGTGAGGCCGGTTATGTCTGTAGTGCCGTAAGAAATTTTTTATACCTCATTTTACATCCAGTTCGGTCCGTAAAGCCAGTCATTTTTTAGCTATCGGGTTAAGGCCTTGGGTAAAAAAGTAATTGCTCGTAATCTGCCAAATCAAACCATCCCTTGCCATTTTTTTTTTATTTAAAATCAAGTTATCGTTTATGAGATCATGTTCAACACCGATTGTCTCCTCCATTTTCCTTCAAATTTTACTCAAAGTTCATGAATATGATATCAGTAATGTCCACATGTTCCCAGCTCGTTTAATTTATTAGTATTTGTTGTTTCTTCGTCAGGAGATCATGTTTATGTACTACGCTCAATAATTTCCTTTTCAAAGGCATACGTTTCCTTACAGATCACTATTGCTTGCTATTCACTGCTAATCTACTCTTCCTTTAAATCACCGTGATTAAAAAGGAAGCCTAGTTTGTGAAGCATTTTTGACCGAATGCGAGCACTTTTTGATTTACCTAATGGCTTTTTTTTTTTGTTGGTCCTTTATTAAACAGGCAATTTTCGATCACGTTTCGCCATTTTTTTTTTCTTTTTTCGCATTTTGCTTATGCGTTCGAAAAAAAAAATTAAGATGCTAGTACCAATTAGTTTTATTTTGGCAAAATCGAGCGGGCGAAATTTTATTTGTCTTTCCACGGTTTTAATTCGTCTTGCATTTATTCGTTTTTTTGGGAAATTATTTGATTACTTTTTGTATTTAAAATCTTATAACATTTTATAAGGAGGTTATCTACATGAAAACCTCATAAAAGTCTTATCATTTTCAGAGTAACTGGGGTTTAAACATCTTTCAGAGTAGATTTCGCAGCCTAAGTATTCACTATTTGTTCTCTAGGAGGAAATTAGATCATTGTTCAGTTTGCGGAGAGAAAAGCAATAAAACAATTAAAAAAGCAGTAAAAAAATAAAAAAAGCAGTAAAAAAAATTAAAAAAGCAGTAAAAAAATAAAAAAAGCAGTAAATAAATAAAAAAAGCAGTAAATAAATAAAAAAAGCAGTAAAAAAATAAAAAAAGCAGAAAAAAAATAAAAAAAGCAGTAAAAAATAAAAAAAGCAGTAAAAAAATAAAAAAAGCAGCAAAAAAATTAAAAAAGCAGTAAAAAATTTAAAAAGCAGTAAAAAAATAAAAAAAGCAGTAAAAAAATATTGAGCTGAAGACTTGAATTTCAAATGAAGCGGAAATCAATCCATATTTAATTCTACAGTTTCCTTGTTACAGATATTTTAAAAAGTTAAAAAAAAAATGGGACTGTGAAGGAACTCAGAGTTTAATTGGAACATTTTGAACTCTTTGCTCTAACAGCTAGGCTTTCTAATTCTAACAAATAACTGTCATGAAGCGAGCAATTTAACACAAAGCATTAAGAGTTCTGAACGTTCCTGTTTTATGTGATTTTTACTAGCTGCGGCCTGCTGACTATTTGGGGAAATCGTTTTAAAACGTACGGGAAAATTTTACGTGCACTTGAAAGTCAAGTCTTACAAAGAGTATGTTGTTCATCTATGAAATCGAATGTGTTTTCAGCCAAGTATTATGTGTAACCGTTAGATTTTCTTTGTCGCAAACTTATTTCATTCATTTAATTAGCTGATGTAAAATGTAATTTCTGACGTTTGAGTGACATGGGAACGAATTAGTCAGAAATTAATATTGTGAAGGCACGTTGAAGAGGTTCACGTGGCATCATGGTAGTTTGGGATTATCTAAGCGTCTCGCGGGAAAATTAAGTCATTCTAGGTTGGTAAGTCTTAGGTCCGACCACTTTCATTTTTCTTATTTGATGTTATCTTGTTTTACAACTCTTTGTAAATTATCCCTACATTCATTGATTTTTCTGTGTGATCATTAGTGTAACTAGGTTAGTTACCCTTTCAACGGGGTATCGTGCTGCTGCATTAGAAGAGGAATACGTTTCCCCATATTTTTTGGCCACTTCTAAAGAGTGTTTTTTTTTTAGTTGTTTTTCGTATCTGGCATAGCAAAAGCTCTTTTTGTAGAAACCTTCAGTTTAGGGTTTTGTAGAACCGTTCAGATTGTATTAGGATGCGTATACTACAAGACTGGCTGACTCATCCAAAATAAACTTTTCATATTGAATATCTCGTCTGAGTGCGGTCAGAATATTTAGAAAAGCGGAAAGTTGCTGGATATGTCAAATAAGGAGAAATTTGCTTTTGACACTCTGGAATAGGAGCTAAGCGCCTCACCGGATGATTATCAGTGAGGGACTGTAAAATAATAACTGCTTAAGCAGACTGATAATGCTTTAACGAGAGGACTTCATTACCGCTTAGTGTAGTTAAAATAAAGACTGAAAGTTATCTTTGTGGCTGTTACTCTTCATCATAAGGAGTGGGTAGGCGCAGAGTCGCCCTCACCTTGCGGGTTAAATCCAACTCATTGGCAAATTCTACACGCTTTGCTTATCCTATACAGAGTTCACCCGAATCACATGTGTTTCGTCCTTTTTGAGTTTGCTTGTTTGTTTGTTTGTTTTTTTTAAAAAAAAAACTCTAGGTTAGCGTATAGAGTGGTGTATTTTGGTGTAGTGTAATCTGATCAGCGCAATTTGGTGTATCTTCAAGCAATCTGATTGGTGCATCTTTTTTTTGGTGTATCTCAAAGCAATGTGGTTGGCGCAATTTTTTGGTGTATCGCAAACCAATCAGATTGTAGGATTTTTCGATGTCGCACCAATCAAAGCGTTTGTCAGCGAATCAACGCGTGACTCGGGGAGAGCGGTTCGCGATTTAAGGAAACGTACTAGTCGCGTTGGGAAAGCGGTGGAGTTGTTATCACTACGACTACGGTTATTTTTCGTTCTAAAGGAGACTGAGTGGAACATGAGAAAAATTTTGAATCAAATATTGCTTGAGATGTTGATGAGAGCAACTTCAGAATACCCGGCCAGTGTTGACTGTTATGAATAGATTGTTCCCGCGGTCCCGATGTCGAAAAATAATATTAAAAGAGAGAACATTTAAACCATTGGTCCCGCATTCGAGCTTTCCTGAATTCGAAGAATGATAAAATGGTACGGCCCTTAAACTAGTGCATCCGCAGTCCCGCGCTCACGAAGTCGAAGAATGATATAACGAGAGGGCCGTTTTAACTAGTGCTCCCGTAATTCCGCGCTTTTGAAGTCGAAGAATAATTAAAGGAAAGGTGAAGTTTACCTAGTGTTGACGCAGTCCCGCGATTACTTCATCTCGTTTTCTCGACTGAGGGATATTTCATTGCTAGACATGAATTCCTTAAAAACGACATCTACAAGAATTGTGAGCTCAATTTCCCATCGTAATGGCTGTCCTTCGTGAGGACTTTATCGCTATCATCTGTCGGGATTACTGAAGGTCGTCGGGAAATTTTTTCTTCCCATTGCAAGTTAAAACGTGCATGTTTTGTGTACCGCTCCTTCATTTATAACGCACACACCGTCAGCTAATTATAAAGGCCTACCATGAATTTAGCACCAGATTTGAAACTAGTCGCCGAGAGGTTTGGAGGGGGTCTGGTGCTAATAATCACAGTGTCAGTGCTAAACCGGCCCTAGTCTACGGCTCGCATCGCTCGAGCATTGCTCAAGCTTTGCCGCGGACAAAGAAACGTTCGTCGCGAAGGGCTTATTATATGTGGTTGTTCGTTAACTGCCAAACTCAAATGATTGCCTGGCTCTGGAAATGGTAGTGACTCTAACTCCTTGACAAAAACTATTTTTAAACTTTCACTCGATCTGTAGGTGGATCTGAACATTACCTGTTCTTAGAGAAAAACAGGACTTTTGACGGTACCATCGTTTTTAAGCCATATCTAACTTGAAAATCCAAGAAAATCGTTATTTCATCGATACTACGCAGGGGTCAACACTCGCTGCGTGACTGTTGTCATGGTAAAATCACGAGAGCACGCATGTCTTGTATCACCAAAACAATAAACAAGGTGAAGGGAAAATTAAATACAGCATTGCCTTCGAAACTACGACATAGTATACGGGCTTTTAAATTATATTGGTTACACTTTCCTGAACGTAGACAACTTCTAAAAGCAGAGGATAAAGTGTCCTCGAATTAGTAGGGTCAATATGAAGAGATAATTTAATTTACTGTCTAACCTGCGGTCAGACGGACACACGCCCCTTGTAGGATTAGTTCAACATATGGGCTCTTCATAATTAACTGTGCTCCCTTTGACCAATTAACGCGTTAATAAAAATGAACTTCAGGAAGAGAAGTTTGGATGAATGAATGAATGAATTCCTTATTAAATTGCGCCTTTTCTATACAATATTCAAAGGCGCAGTACCCCCCATCAATTTGATAGACACTTCACAAAGATAGACCACAACACAGGGCACTACGTCCCCTACTCTTTTCGAACAGTGTGTGGGTTCTTTAACGTCCCACGATTTTTTTTTTTAATCACATACAAGGGCTTGTGAGACGGGACCTCCATTTATCGTCCCTATCCGAGAAGACTAGAGAGTCTAACCATTTGCAGATATTATTACAAAGGCAGCACTTTCTTCTCAGTTATTTAAAGACCCTGAGTGTTGGTCCGGCCGGA